ACATTGCGAACCCCCTAATTATTATAGTGCAAGAGAATGAGAGAAATAGCGAAGCAAAGGCTACCCACTTTCACTGAACAAGAGAAAGAGTTTTGTTAACGGAACTTTACATTAGGCATCAATTACTACACTGCAAGGTCTCTGCAAAAGAACATTCCATATATGATCCAAAAGCTCTAATCAGTTTTTTCGTTGATCAATCTGTAGATGATCGAGGTAAACTAAAATTCATCTTGAAACTAACATCTTCTAATCACTTATTTGAAATGAAAGTGCATATAAGTGATCAATCTTGTCGTTACAACGGCGGAAAAAGATGGGAGTTCTTAATGGTCCAAATGTAAGAACACCTAAACCCATACACTACCTAAATTTACATTAAACTAAACTAAACTTGAATTTCTATAGCTTTCATTTCCTTTATTCATAAATTCCATTAATTTTGTGAGTACTTACCTACGTTGCTTGTGGGAGCCAGTTCATTTACATTTATCCAAATGGACTTTTAGATCTTTTGCAGTTCATACGGATATGCTACCAAAATCTAAAAATCTTTATTACTAGAAATTGTTATAGCTTGTTCTCATCCTTTTTATCCAACAAAATATTACTTTCTTTATTTTAAAATAAATGTTACTTTTATTTATTTTTTTTAATGAAGGATTTAAGAAGAAGTTATATATTTATTTATATTATCCTAAAAAAGAAATAAAAGACAAAGAGACTTTTTGTGAAAGAATGAATAATTAAAGTAAATGGATAATAATAAAGTTAAATTAAAAAAAAATTGTCTACCTTAAGAAATGAAAAAGCAACAATTATTTTAAGACAAATTTAAAATAGAAAAACAACAATTTTTTTAGATGAAGGGAGTAGTTATCTGCACCTTTTCTCTTATAACATCTATATATATCTTGGGCCCTGTTTCTAGGACTATGGAGAGACGAAATTAAATGTCTACACAGTTGATTAGGTTCTAAATAATCAACATCGCATTGACTGTGTTTCTGAGCATTTAAATCGAATTTGCTAGGCAAGAGAGTAAAGGCATGACCATGCCTGACTTAATTTTGTTTCTCAACATATTCTTCCTTTCGGATAATATGAGTATTTGGATCTTTAACTTGACTAATTGTACAGATAAATGGAACACTAATTTTGTTCATGGTGGCAACTTATGCAAAAAAAGGGGGCTAATGTTAGAAGATATTTCTATTGGTGTGTGTTTGATGATTTTGAATGGAATGAGGGCTATAATGTCAAATCTGGGCTTTACCACAACGATTACAAGGACAGACTCAGGCGCATCCCTCAAAAACCTATTAATTGGTACCATGATTTTCTCAAAGGTGTTTGAAACCACCAAACATAAAGTTTTTGTTCATAGAGTGACCTAGTACAAGTTTGTTGTGCTAGATTGCCTGTAACACTTGTTGTGGGTATATATATATATATATATATATATATAAAAGAAATAGAGATTGTATTAAAGTAGTTCATGAAAAAAAAAGAAGAAGAGAGAGATTGTATTAAAGTAGTAAAATAGAGATTACATATGAATCTCTCTATTGCAAACTATACCCAAAGCAAAAACATATCTTACAACATTAGATACAAACAAAAGCTATATCCATGATGGAAAAATATAATTAAGTATAGAGAGTTATTTATACTTTTAAATTATAATAATAATCGTTGTAAGGGTATAAATAAAGCTATTAATGTAAAAAGAAAGTAACTATGAGCATTCATAGTCATTGGACATTCTCAACTACTATGCCACTTCTGGAGAAGAGCAAGTAGTTCAGTAGACAAGTTCACATTCACTTAATGTCATACTGAAGAGAAGATGTACTCGTTTAGAGGGTAGTTGGAATCGATCTCTTCCATGGATCACCAAAACCATACTTGAATTAATCCAAAAGAGAGTTTGAGTTTTCGTTAGCCTCTCAACTATATTGTCAAAAATTGAATTGAAGTAAGTATTACAATCAATTCAAGCTTAGTTAACCCTACCACCAGAGTACTTTCCTCTTCAAATCGAGGCCAAACCTAATGAACATTCGGTTGAATTGAAATACAATTCTATTAAAAGCATAATTGAATTTTTATTAAAAATATAATTTTGAAGATGCATATGAAAAGACTCCCACAATTCGCCTACCCAGCATTTTCAAGATGCCTGTGCTTGAGAGGGCAGTGTGTTGTTACATTCGGTTTGGATTTAGGTTAGTTTTTTTTTGTTATTTTTACCTTTTAGTTGGTTTAAGAGGAAAACGCCCATGTTCACGGGCTTGATTAGAATTTTTATTGGATTGTACTTGTTTTTTATTGTTGAAAATATAATATTAAAAAAAATACAAGTTAGTCTTCACTCTCATACAAAAATTGAAATTTCAACTTTAAAAACATCAACCTCTAGTGAATATATTCAATAAAAAAAAAAATTAAAGTTTTAATATTAAACTACGTCATTTTATTTAATTAAAAATTAATTTAAATTTTAAAAAAAGGCTAAACCCTTATTTTGGTCCCTGAATTATTGTACGGAACCCCGATTTGATCCCTGAACTAAAGAAATCCCTAATTTGGTCCTTGAACTATTGTATGGGCCCCTGAGTTGGTCCCTAAACTATTGTACGGACTCCCGAGTTAGTCCCTAAACTATTGTACGGATGTCCAATTTGATCCCTACTGTTTATCAATTTAACCTCAACTTGGTCCTTCCGTTAAATAATAGCTCAGAGACCAAAATTGGGGCGAAATTGTAAACAGTAAGTACCAAATTGGGGGTCCATACAATAGTTCAAGGACCAACTTAGGCCAAATTATAAACAGTGGGGACCAAATCAGGGATTTCTTTAGTTCAGAGACCAAATCAGGGGTCCGTACAATAGTTCAGGGACCAAAATGGGGATTTAACCTAAAAAAAATTATTTTATTAAATATTGATATATTAGAATATATAATGAGTTTTCAAATTTAGATATTAACATTTAATAAGATTAAAATTTTAGTTCTAAATGTAGATTGAGACTCTTATTATTGAAAATATAATTAAGTTTGAATCTTAAAAGGTTTATTGGATATTTGTTTGGTATTTATTAAACATTTTAAACGCTATTAGTCATTGAAAATTTTAAAAGGGATAATGATTGATACAGTTTA